CCAATCTCCTCCTGAATCTGTTCTATATTTGGATTTTTCACTTCCTTTTGGACACATAACAAGCAGGATTAAATCAAGACCTTAATTCTTCTCTTGGGGATTAGGAACAAGAAATGTGTGGTTTTTTTCTAGATAAAAATGCAAGTTAAAAATGTTTATTATGCTAATTTTATATCAGAACACAAGTGTTGGGAATGACAAGAACAGCACTAGGTGTTAGACCAGAGAGGTCAGACCAAACCTGGGTTAAGCAATCTCGGTACTTGGGTTCTGACTAGGAAAGAATTCACAGCCAAGACCCAAACTGTAAGAGAACATTTATTTGGAAAACACAGAGGTAGAAGAAGTAATTCCTAGAAGAAATGGGCTTAGGAAACAAGTTATAGAGGTAAAGGAAGGGCTCTAGGAACTTAGAAGTGAGGAAGATAAAGGTACTGCCTGGGGGGTAAGGTGGGAGAGGAGGAAGGAAAAGACACTGGCATGCTCTGGGGAGCGAGAGCTGGGTCCTCCTCCTAAGGGTTTTACGGGTGGAGATTTTAGGGAGGCTCCAGGGGAGGTCTCAACAGAATATTCAGCAGCTCTGGTGTGTCCAGGTGTGTCCTTTCAGAGTCTAGATCTCCACTGATTGGTCAGTGCCAGGGCGGGGGTCATTATTCAATGCAGCTGATCCTGAGGACAACATGGCATTGCTTGTCTGGTTTTGCTGCTTTTCTGGGCCTGGAGTTGAGATACAACTGAGGCCTAGATGTTATCTCTAGGGAGGAAAGGTCAGGGGGTCCAAACTGCATGACCGGCAATATGGTAGGGGAGGATGTCTTTTGCTAGGCACACAGGGCTTTCTGCCCTGGTGACCTTCTGTACCTGGCCATAGTCCTTGCCCTGCTCAGATCAGTCTGCCTAACACAAAAGGATGTTACATCTACCAGCTCAGTTCCACATAAATTAAAGGCAAACAGAAGTTTACGAGGAAGAGACGGCAAAGGAGGGAGATATTTTAGACAGACAATGTTACAGGACTGAAGGTACTGATGCCAAGAAGGTAGATGTGTTCAGGAAACAGTGAAGGGGAGGTTTGAACACTGGAATGATTGATGATTGGCAGTAAGGTGTTAGATGGTGGGAGAATGAGCTGAAAGTGTAAAAATGCAAACAAGGCCATAAGTGAAAGGGTACACCACAAAATGTAGCAAGGCTAGCTGGCACACCCAGCGGGGTGCTAAAAGTCTTGTAAGGATTTGCAGCTTGCTTATGAAAAAATTAGCTACAATGGCTGCCAGAGGCAATCCTTCCAGTCTTTGGAGAAAATGATAGTTTTCTAATCATAAGAATATTATCTCACTGTTTTCTCCTAATCATTTCATATCAATTAGCTAAGGGAAAATACAATCTCAGAAAAACTTGCCTATACTGTGGCTCCACACTGTGCTGTTGGTGTAGCTGTCAAAAAACACAGGCTGTAACACCCATACAATGCTTGGTCATGTTCTTTCCAGAGATGATCTCAGAGGTGAATGTTTACCAGCCAAAAATGGACATTCCAAAAGGATTGTAAACTTTTCTCAAAGTTTAGAGTACCTTCCAATGAGGTCTGGTAAAAGCAAAGACTGGAAAATAGAAGCTTGTCTAAATCTTCATGTCAATAAAAAGGCTATAAAAAGACCAGAATGGCTAAAAAATCCTCTTGATTCTACTGCGGGAGCAGAAGCACACTATTTGAAAATCTGGGTTATTGTTGGAAAGGTTTATATATTTACTTTTAGACACTTAAAAAGAGGGTATTGTAAGTGCAGTAGCATTTCCTCAGAACTGTAATGGGATTTGAATTGTATTTCTAATTATTCTCTACCGGGTAGAGTCTACCCAACTGAAGAAAACATTAATTCTGTTTTTGTTTGTTTGTTTGTTTTTCAGAGCAGGGGTCTTTAAGTTACCTATAAAGATGGCATCTTCAAAATGTTGTAAATATTACTGTACCAACCATTTAAAGCAGTGGTTCTCAACCTTCCTAATGCCGCGACCCTTTAATAGAGTTCCTCATGTTGTGGTGACCCCCAATTTCATTGTTACAAATTGAACATAATTAAAGCATAGTGATTAATAACAAAACAATATGTAATTACATGTTTTCCGATGGTCTTAGGCGACCCCTGTGAAAGGGTCGTTTGACCCCCAAAGGGGTCGCAACCCACAGGTTGAGAACCACTGATTTAAAGCCTATTTTCTGTAACTAAACAGGTCGCAGTTTAGTGATATCAGTGGTAGGACAAAGTTTTCAAAGTTATTTCTCTATTGAGATTTCTACACTAACAAGCTTGAGATACAACTTTGCACAGCATGGGTGATCATAATCTGATCTGATTGTTAAAGACCCCCCATATTAAAGTCATGTGAGAATAAATAAATCATCTTTTCTATCAAAGAACAGTTTAGACCAGTGATGGCGAACCTTTTGAGCTCGGCGTGTCAACATTTTGAAAAACCCTTACTTAACTCTGTTGCCGTGCCACATATAGAAATTTTTTGATATTTGCAACCATAGTAAAACAAAGACTTATATTTTTGATATTTATTTTATATATTTAAATGCCATTTAACAAAGAAAAATCAACCAAAAAAATGAGTTCGCGTGTCACCTCTGACACGCGTGTCATAGGTTCGCCATCACTGGTTTAGACAGTCGCCATGTTGGCCGCATGACAGCTCCACTGGGAGCACCATCTTGAAATAGCAAAGGCCAACCCCTCCCTTTGAACTAGCCAATCGCGAAAGACTGGGTGCCTGAGCTCCAGTCAAGGGTGAGGGACCGGTCACACACATAAGGGAATATAAAGCCAAGCAGACTGCCTGCTTGGTGTGCGCGGGCTTCCAGACCATGTGCGCACGCCCTTCTGCATAGAAGTAAAGATGTTTGCCTTGCTGCCTGGCTCCTGAGTATAATTTGTCTTCTACCAGGGTCCCTGAATTTTAGGGGATCGCCTTATTTCTTACAGTCATCAGCACTACCCGAGTCAAGAATTACTAACTGGTGGTTCTCTTAAAAAAATCCCTCTCAGATACTGTATTACTTGATACAATTGTTATGCTTTTTAACCATATAAACCAATAAACAAAGCATGTTAGGGTCTACACGTATAGCAGGGTCTAACTTTTCAACATTTTAATAATGTAGAAAAGCTGGATATATTTCTATTGCTTCGATTTTTTTAAACAGTATTTATATACCTGTTGGGAAGATGCTGCAAATGTTCACTGTTAGATATTAATAAGCCTATTTTAGTGCCAGACACCATCCTCCTGAACTAAATTGCCATTAATAAATATTTGTAAAAATAAAAATTCCCAGTTGTGTTTTTTTTAAAAAAATAAATTGGCCTCTATTTATTACATATGCATTTGCTCATCATTCTCAAGTACTCATTACCGATATACATACAGTATATATTTGCATATATATGTGTGCACACACATTCATTTTTGAAAAATGATGAAAACCTTATTTCTTTTATTTAAAAATAACACCCACTGAAACTTGGATAAAAACCTTCTAATAAAATCTTATCTTAAAACAAATATATATCAAATGACTTTATCCTGGACACTATACAAATTCTTTCCCACTTTAAAACTCTACAGTGATCATTCCAGTTACATGCCAAATAACACAATTAAAGTTAGGTATCACAGACAATAGGCTGATTGTGTTTTTGAGCTATGCACTTCAATTGCCCTGTCTCTAGATAAACTAACTTGCAGGCTGCATTCTTCTTTTGTGCCTTTATTTTTTCTGAGAAGGGCAAACCATCCTTGAAGACTTATTGCTATTTTCACAACCACAGATTTTCTTTTGTTTATGGAAAACTAAAATTCAGAGAAAACGCACAAAATAAAGTCATTCCAAACCAGAAATAATGCATTTTTTCCTCATTTATTCAAATTCACTGCAGGAAGTAAACACTAAAAGATTAAAAAACAAAACAAAAAAAAATTCACACTGCAGTATGTACAGTTTCAAGACATCACATGAAGAAATTAAGTTTCTAATAAAAATGACAAATTATATAATGAGATCGCATCAAAATTGGTTGTGTAAACCCCAGATTCACACCATGAATGGTGATGTGCTTGTATTCCAGTATACTGGAATACTCCTGGCATAATATTGGTTTCCAATGGGATTAAAAAATTCATGAAAGTAGTTGTGTGAACTCTATGTTGAAAAGTGGTTGACTTGATTTTAAAAAGTTTTAAGACCCTTGGATCCAAAGCACATTCTTTCACGAAGCTGAAACCACAGAATTCATGTCTAGAAATGGAATACTGCCATGTTGGGATGAACATCTGATTTGACTTAAGACATTTTGCCAAATGCAGAGATGCACAGGATCCCCCATGCACTTTTCATGCAGCAGGTAATCACAACTTAAATAAAAGGTTTATTCTATACATGTATCCAGACTTGCAACTGTATACATACATGCACAAATTTTAAACCTGTCAGATTATATTTACACTTATACATGGAATATACAGAAACCAAAGAGATTAAAAGGCTTTTCTGTTGCATTAGAACAATACAAAATATGTATTTTTCATTAAGGAAATTATTATTTACATCATCTTTAAAAACCGATTTTAACATCTTCATGTAACAAGTCTATATATATATATAT